TCTCTCTCTCTCTCTCTCTCTCTCTCTCTCTCTGTCTCTCTTTGTTTCTTAGTCTCTGTCTCTCTCTTTGTCTCTTTGTCTCTGTCTCTGTCTCTGTTTCTCTCTCTCTCCTCTCTCCTCTCTCACTGTCTTTATCTCTCTCTCTGTCTTTCTCTCTCTGTCTCTCTCTGTCTCTCTCTCTGTCTCTCTCTCTCTCTCTCTGGGTCTCTCTCTCTCTCTCTCTCTCTCTCTCTCTCTCTCTCTCTGGGTCTCTCTCTCTCTCTGGGTCTTTTTCAGATGGGGTCTTACAATGCAGTTCAGGCTGGCCTTGAGCTAACTTTGTAGCTCAGGCTGGTCTCAAACTCAAAACGATCTTCCTGTCTCAATCTTCCCAGCACTGGGATTATAGGCATGTGCCACCGGCCTGGTTTTGGTTGCCAGCACAGCACAGCATGCAGGGCCTGCACAGTATGTGGTACCAGAGACCAAGCTTGTGTCCTTGTGCTTGCTGGGCAGGTGCTTAGACTGCCGAGCTATCTCTCCAACCCCAGGAACTTTAATTTTTTTTTGGCGGTGGGGGACCGGGAATTGAACTCAGACACTTGAGCTTGCCAGGGAAGCACTTATTCCACCGAGCCATCTCCCCAACCCCAGGAACTTTAATTTTTAAGCTAGTGAAGTTGGACAATTTTCAGGAAGCTGGGCCCATTATTTTAATCAGTTCTAGTATGGTCAAGTGAAGTCATTTTATCATTGAAACACAGCATGTGTGCCTGTGCCTCTTTGAGATGTTTCTGATTCATTTACTATGATTCACATAGCAGCTCCCTGCACGCCCTGCCTGCCTGCCTGCCTTCCTTCCTTCCTTCCTTCCTTCCTTCCTTCCTTCCTTCCTTCCTTCCTTCCTTTCTTCCTTCCTTCCACACCTCCTCCAGAGTCATTCTCTCCATGTAGTAAGGCTCCTTTTCAATGACAGAGACTTCTTTTGTAAGAACACTTTAAACACTATGTGTGTTTAGTTGGCAGAAATAAATAAATATTATCAAATAATTCCATTTTCTTTTCATTGAAGTTCTTTGTTTCTCTCCATTAATAGTTCACATAGCATCCTAATGCGTTTTTAAAATAAAACTTAATTAATTTCCTCTTCATGATACGTTACGCATTATGAAGCCTTTTTAAAAGGATATTTATTAAAGAATTGCATGATCAAAAAGTTTAATTTTATGATTTTCTTTGTAAAAATTCATATTCAGGTGAATGTCATTGTTGAGCTCTCACATCAGCTGAATTATTCCCTTGCTGGCAGAACATGTTGAGTGGGGAGTGCCACAGGGAGAGCGGGGGCCACAAGCAGCCCCCGAGACCGTTTCCTACGTTACAGAGCACCATCATGTGATTCTCCTGTGGCCGTGCACAGCAGGACCGGCACGTAACGAGCAGGGCTTGACTGACTCTGTTAAAAGAGTAAGAAGTGCGGCTCACTTACCCTGCCATCCTCCAGGTCTGTCCTGGGCTGGCTTTCCTAACCACAGACTGGAGCTCTGGTCAAAGCTGGGAGGGTCTGGGAAGAAACACCATGCTTCATGGTGCAGAGCCGTGATCTTCTGCCCCAGTAGGAATTCCCAGCAGCTTTTCCACAGTCCAGAAAGTCTGGATAACAAAAATGCCAAGGAAACTGATGACGAGTGAAAGCGAGAGCAGGATGGGGCTCATCTGTGATGTCACTTCTCTTCTTTTCAGGAAAGTGAGGGATGCCACCGGGGTCGACATCAATATGCGCGTGGGAGTGCATTCTGGGAATGTGCTGTGTGGCGTGATCGGCCTGCAGAAGTGGCAGTATGATGTGTGGTCCCATGACGTCACCTTGGCCAACCACATGGAAGCTGGTGGAGTCCCTGGGTGAGGCCAAGCTCTGGGTTTCTGTCTGCGAACTGGCAGCACACTTAGGGTGTGGCAGGATGATATGCCATCCTACAATAATGCTCTTCTTCGCTTAGCCATTGATCCCTGGTGCATCAACAATATCACAGCATGTGCACGTATGTGTCCTGAGGAATGCGGGCGCACCAGAAATAGCATAATATGTGCCCCCGTCAAGAGGCTACTAAGTGAGTTATCAGGATCTGATGGCTTTCTCCCGCCTGTGTTGGCTTCATGTCGCCATGCTGCACAAGTTTAATGGCCTCTTGTCATTATCAGACATAAATGCTCGGGCTGGGATGTGGCTCGCTGGCAGAGCAGTCTCCTACCATGTGCAAGGCCCCACAGCACTGCCAACAGAAAAAAACTAAGTGTAAATCTCACCTCAAATCCACCAACCTTTTACTCATGCTCAAGCACTGGACATAGACGCCAAATAGTCAACCCTCCCTGATTTGCAAATTATGGATGCAGACCTGCACTTATGCTGTTTTGCAACGCAATCCAGACATGTCACTTCCTGAGCAGTGTCTTTCTGTGACACCAGTGCTGTTAGAAATGTAACTGTAACGTCTGTTTTTGCCGAGAGCATTCTCAGACTAGAGAACTGAGATGTAAGTGCTGTATTCCGCAGATGTGAGAGCGAGCACTGAGAAAGAAAATCCTGACTTTTATAGCGCTCATCACTCCCCTTGAAACACCCTTGATCTGTGTTTTGAATGGTACCCTCACTTGCAAAACTTTGATGCCATCCAATGTTCTCTGTTGCAATTCATTGTCCCAATCATGTAGGTTTCTCAGAAAACAGAAGCTTCAATAAGTAACTGAGAACGTCTAGAATTCAAAGCAATGGGCAGTGAAACATAACCCTTAACTATAGCCAGTTCTCCTGAGCATGTGATTTCCTTCTTCTTCTTCTTCTTCAATGTATTCAGTACAGGGTCTCACTACACAGCTCAGACTCATAATGATCCTCCTGTTTTCAGCCTCCCCAGAGCTGAGATTACAGACGTGTGCCACCATGCCTGCTCTCAGCAGTCCACTCAGCACACCTGGGGGCTGGTCCAGTGTAGCCAAAGATTGAATCCCAGTCCCTGTGCTTCCTAACCAAGCGCTTACTTGGCTGAGCTAAATCTTGCCAGCCCTTCCTTCTTTTGAAAGAGCAATTACTGCTCAAATCACAAATACACCATCTTTCTTTGCATTTGTCCTTCTGAGTCTTGACCATGAGTGTCCAATGGAATTCTAGGCGTGTTCACATTTCCTCGGTCACCCTGGAGCACCTGAATGGAGCTTATAAAGTGGAGGAGGGAGATGGTGACATTAGGGACCCGTATTTAAAACAGCATCTGGTGAAAACCTATTTCGTCATCAACCCTAAGGTTAGTGTCATTAAGAGTCTATGATGTCTGTAATTTCCATGATTCAAAGGGAGGAAGGGGATAGTTTTAATAAGCGAGTACTTTTAGTTGAGGATCAGCTTAATTCTCTGTATTTGCCTCTAAAATGACTTTAAGACCATTCAGGGGTTTAGTTCTGGAAGATGTTTTGTAAGGGTGCATTTACGTTTGCTAAACTGGAAGTTGAAAAGTATCAAGTGTATGCTTAGCGAGGTATCAGTCCCACTGCTGGTTTAGGCTGCTGCTGTGTGTGTGTGTGTGTGTGTGTGTGTGTGTGTGTGTGTGTGTGTACGTGTGTATGTGAGTGCATGTGTGCATGCACGTGTGTGTGTGTGTGTGTACTGATGTTGCTTATGAAAGGAACTCAGTGGGCACAACCTTGACACCCATGAGTTGGAAAATTAAAGAGAAAAGATGTGTTACAGAACTCAAAGGATGAGTCTGATGGGAGGAAACAGAAGAAACATGTGAGAAAAAGGAAATGAAGACATGAGTTAAGATTAACACATAAATCTCACACGTGCACTTGTGTGGGACTGTGCACAAACACACACGTGTCCTTACACTCCTTAAGATCCTCCTTCACCAGGAAAACCTCTGCCTGCTCAGACAGTGAGAAGCCTTCTCTTCTCGGGGTCCTGCTGTATGTGAGGCCCAGCCAAGTGCCCGAGAGCTCTCAGCGCTGCCCACTCGCCTCAAGTTCCTACAAAAACAGTGACTGACCCTCACTATCAACTACTTACAGATTAAGACACAGAAGGGGATATGTAGCTTCTTACAGGTCACACAGGAAAGGTTCCTGAACCAAGACAGCCAGTGTCACAAAGTGACAAGTCCATTGTCCTTTTGTCATGACTGGGCCCTTGAAACCCGAGTTTCAGCTGTGGAGACAGACTTCCATCTCACCTGGTGGTTGTTCTGGAGATAAATGTGTGAGCTACAGAACCCATGGGATGCTGGGAAGTGTGCCCCACAATGTGTTCTGTTCACAGAGGGCTCATGAAAATAAGAGTATGTGAGGTCACTTCTCACTGGACCTGCAGATCCTGCTACCACTTTAGAAAGGGATAGAACTTTCTCAGTCACATGAGGGAGCAAAGGCAGAGGGCATGGCTGAATGGGTGACATTAGGTGGAACTGGTTTGGCCAAGGGAGGTTGGAGCGAGCAGGACAAGGTGCAGAACTGTGGAACACTAGGGCTGATGCTCTGATTCTTCTCTCAAGGGAGAGCGACGGAGTCCCCAGCATCTCTTCAGACCTCGCCACACCCTGGATGGAGCCAAGATGAGGGCATCTGTCCGCATGACCAGGTACCTGGAGTCCTGGGGAGCAGCCAAGCCCTTCGCTCATCTGCACCACAGAGACAGCATGACCACAGAGAACGGCAAGATCAGCACCACGGTAAGCCTGCCCTGTGCCTAGGGACAGAGAGCCCTGGCTGCTCCACAAGAAGCACTACACAGCTCCTGCCAGAGTGCCTCTTGTTGGCAAAAACTGGGGGTTCTTGGTATGATCCCCAAGTCTACAACTCGTTCCAGGTTCTAACTTATACCTAACCTAGAGCATTTTAACTGTATACCCCAACACAGCACTGTATGCAATAGAAAATAGCCACAGTAACTGAGCTACTGTTCTAGGTAAGGTCATTTTTCTATCATGAAGTAGGAAACCTTGAGCATCATAATAGGAAGACAAAGGCAGAATGTCCTTGGAGCCTGAGGAACGTCATCAAGACTCTCTGCTGAAAGCCCAAGTGTTCACAGTATGTAGGCAACAAGGAAGGTCACTTCCGATTGACGACACTCTGATTTCCATCATAGAATAAAGTGACACAGCTCCTTACGACAGGAACACGTGCAGTAATAAGGAGAAAATGACTTGGAGACAGAACCACAGGAGACAGAAAAGTTGCCCTAAAAATGTTACGATTATTCAAAAAGTAGCTTTCATATTGATAGAAATAGTTTTTTATAATAAATGTAAAAAGCTTGAATAAACTTTCTTCATTTTGTATACCAGTGAGATAAGAAATTAATAAATTTTCAAAAGGAAAGGATACTATTACAGTATCATTGGATCTTAAAACTACCTATAAGTATAATTCCACACAACAGCATCAACTGTGTTAAGAATGTAATATA